CCCTGCCAGTGTTGGTGGGAGTGTGGGGTTTTTTTTTCTTGGTAGTTCCTTGATTAGGAAAAGGAAACAGACTACCTATACAACATCTTCCAACAAAATGGATATCCACACAATTTTATCAAAAAGTGCTTGACCACTCAACGTACAACAGAACCAACCCGAACTATGAAAAGGATAACACTGCCATACATCAGAAATGTCTCAGAAACAACCAAGAGACTATTACAACCAAATGGCATCTCTGTAGCACACAAACCAACTAAAGCCCTCCAAAACCAGAAGACCCAGTAGCCCAAGAAGAAAAAACAGGAGTCATCTACAACATAGAGTGTAAGGACTGTAACAACTGCTATGTAGGACAGACAGACAGAAGGCTAGCAGAGCGCATCTATGAACACCAACTAGCAGTCAGAAGACACGATGAAAATTCCTTAATCTCACGACACATGGACAGACTTAACCATAGTTTCAACTGAAAACTATCAACATCTTAAACCAAGCTAAATTCAAAAATGCGAGGGAATTCCTGGAAGCTTGGTATTCAGACAAGTCAGCCATCAACAGGCACATAAACAACATCTACACACTATTCAAAAGAGACAATAAAAAGGAAACAAAAGACCAGGACATCTCCTCGCCAGCAATCATCACCCAGGTAAGCAGAGATTCACACCAAGATTATCACCAGACATACAATCAAACAGTAAACAATACCCTAATCAAGGAACTACCAAGAAAAAAAACAAAACCACACTCCCACCAACACTGGCAGGGCGAGCTACTGTATATATAAACAGAGAGCAAACTCCACTGCATTCTAGCACTGAAGATGTTACCTAGTTGGGTAACGAAACGTTTGCAAGAAAACAACCGAGCTCAGAGTATCCCAAGTACTCCACAGTTCAACCCTGAGCTATATATATTCGCTTCTAGAGTTTATCAGCTTCATCATATCCCATTCTCTACTTTTCGTTTTAACTTTTTGAGAATTGAGAGTTAAGAAACGGTATTGCATGCTCAAGGGCTAGTGACATCCAAAGGAATAAGTGAACTTTAAATTTAACTGCAGAAAAAAAAATGTTTAAACAGAATTCGCCAACCATTTCAAATTAATAAATATAAAAAACTGACAAAACAGATAGGATTGCGAAGTAATGTCCAACTGACAAAAGAGAGGACATTTATTTATCCCTCAATAATAATCCTATTAGTATCATCATCATCATCATCATCCAAAGAGATGACCAAAGTAATGAAATCAGAAAAGAAAAAGTACAAGTCATGACATTTAGCTTTCACTATACCTTTTAATTCTTAGAACATTGCTTTAAGTAAAATGGGACTGAGAAAAAAACACCTTTTTTGAGTCATGCAGGAAACTTCATGTCTGAACTGACATCTCTGAATTATGTTCCGCAAGTCCAACTCTTGATTCTCTCTGTTACTTTAGTTCAAGACAGGTAGTCTTCATTTAGCGACCACAATTGGGACCGACAACTCAGTCATTCAGGAAAGCGGTTGCTAAGTGAAACCACGAATGCACTTACAATCTTACTTCAGCTTTCCTTTGCTTTACAGACCTGCAAAGGCTGTAAATGTGGGCATTGGTTGCAAAGTTACTTTTTCATTCCGTAACTGTGAACAGTTCATAATGAATGGTTGCTAAACAAAGGCTACCTGTATAAAATTGCACAAACAAAATAGACTTCAGCAACCAAAACTATTCCATATACATGTTTCCTAATATCAGAATTTCAACTTAACTTTTTCTTTTATATAAAAACAATTCCTTTTTAGTTAGCCAATTTCAATATGGTCTGCAATCTTTTTATGCTCCAGGCACCACTGTGCAATTTTGTGTGATGGGATAGACTCAAGAAAAATGAATTAAAAATGGCTGAAATTTCACAAGATTTCCAAAATCTTGTGAAATTTCAGCAATATTTTTATCCAAACTCTAAGAAGAGTTAGTGAACTTTTAACCTTTCAATAATTTTAATAGTTTGGTCCAGACTTAGTCATAGGTAGCATAGATCTACTGAAATAAATTGAACCTAGTTATGAGTAGCATGACCCACTGATTTCATTTCAGTTCTAACCAATCCAGTATAATCTGTATGCCCAACTGGTTTGCTTGTTTGTTTTTTCTTTCTTTCCGTTTTCAAATAAATCTTTCAGTCATGTTAAGTGCAGACAAATCAATTACACATAACAGAAAAAAAGCAAGGAGCACAGTTACAGAAGTTAATGATAGACTGTTTTATGGACTCAATAAGAGAGCCTTACTCCAGAGAAAGTTTTAAAAAATGATTGAAGAACACAGAAAGACAAGACCTCGGCTTGGGGAAGGTAAGAACTCAACCTTTTCAGCTACAACTTCTGTTTAAAAAGGATCAGTACCTTTTCCTGGACAAAGCTGGTGTGCCCCAAGGAGAGGGGAGAGAAGACTCATTTGTCAGGCAAGGAGGAATCTGCTCAGCACGACTACAGACAAAACAGACACAGAGGGGACAGCGAAGTTAGAAAAGAGAACAAGAGGCTGGAAGCTTTGTTAGTTTTACAGTTTCACCATGAGAAATGGATTTTCCAGGATGAACTAGAAAAGAAGACAAAACGTTCAACAAACAAAAACCGAATGAAACATAGGAAATTATCAAAGACACAGAATAAGCAAATTCATTTTCAACAGTGATTCTTGCATTACGGGTGAATTGTTAGGCTGAAGTGTTTACAATTGCTTCTTCCCATTATGACATCTTGGAACAAGCCTATGGATTGTTTAGGATTTGGAAAAGATAACAGAGGATCAGTTTTCAGTATACCCAATATAAGCAGATACTATTACATTTTCATCAGCACGACTAATATTGCAGTCTATAATACAGCAGGAACTCTGCAAAAAAGATGCTTAAGTAGGAAGATGTGAGGAAAAGGAAACAATTGATAAGGAACAGAACAGAGAAAAAAAGATGAGAAATATTTATGCAAGTTTAGCCCAGATTCCTTAAATTTCAGCATCAGAGAGTACCAACCAGATCAACCATTGAGAAATCTAAAAATACTTTTAGTATGAAGATCTCAGTGTATGACATTTAAAAAACCAATTAACATCAGTGAGAAATAATTAACTTATTTACTCATATACTTACAACTAGGGCAATACTTAAATGTTATGTTATGACTGGTGTATTTAAAGACGTTAAATATTCCCTGCCTTTGTCTGGGCCATTGTGTTAATATGACAAAATATGCTTCACAAATAGCATCATGATTCAAAATACTATTAGCTCAGTTTTTTAAACAAGGGGGAAGCAATGAAAAAAGTGCAGAAAACAAACAGTCTATAGTACATTAACTTATATTTAAATGTATCAATTTCAATTGTAATATTACCTTTATTTCCAGAAATCAAATACTTTAAATGCTCTAAAATACAAATAACGAATGTTCCAACCAGCATTATTTTAATTGTAAAAAATCTTTAAAACTCTCACATTATTATTTAAAGTATAAATTTGACCCTGCTTTTAAATGGGTCCAATGTTGATTTGTGATTTAGAAAAATGGAATAAAACAAGCAAACAAACCCTCTCTTTTAAACAGAAGTAAATACATGCTATTTTTCTGGATGATTCCAAAGTTATTAATAAATGAAGTTTCTATAGGTAAATACACAATGATGCTGGCACTTGTATGCTTTTAACCACAAAGGTATTATTTCAGCAAAACGAATGCTGCTAACAACTATTGTCCTACTATAGGAATTCTCCTACAGAAGTCCTACCCTTCTTTGCTTATATCCAGATAATACATGCAATCATTATTACAAAAAATCAGACCCTTTCTCCAACACAAGTCCTTGCTGTAAATTGTGCATGCAATGTAGTTATCAAATGAGATTACAGACACATAAGTCATTGGCAGTAAAGAACTGGGAAATAAAGAAAATGGTTGGCCACCATCCACCTTAAAAGAAAGAAAGAGCAAGTACTGCACCAAGTTAGCCTTCGCCAGACTGAAATCTATCACATGACCTGAATTTCAATTCTCCAAACCACATGGTCTTTGAACATGGGTATGAAATATCTATGCAGTTGAATGCTTGTGGAAGGCTACGCTAAGGAAGCATCAGAGACATGAGATGTGATGTACCCAAATATTTAGAACTCTATCCCAAATCTACATCATACCTGTCAAAAGAATCTGTAGTTACTTTGTAGAGGTAAATAAAGAGCTTGCTGCAGTGCCGTAAAGTGGGTGAGACAGAATCCATGGAAATGAGGTCATCTTCCAACAGTCTTTGAAACGGCTGGGTATTGGAGGGGAAGATATTCACAGGACTTAGTTTTCTGGAGTCTGAGAAGCAGCCAAGTAATCTTACAGCATCAGCTAGCTTTTCATACTGGATCTCTGTTCTGAAGAAGTGTGAGTTGGCTGGCTCATAACGCATTGCTGCAGTCAAGGTACAGAGCACAGTGTGGAGCAGCTCGAACACTTGATTCTGGTTCACTTTCTCCCAGCCATTTTTGGGTGGAGAACATAAGGATCTTTCCATGGCAACAAGCAACGAGGTGATATATACAAATCCACCAACTTTCCTGAAAACTGTTCTCGTCCGATGGCTCTCCTTTAATACCAAAAGCAGGGCCTACATGGATTTTTAAAACACGGCAGTATGAATAAGACAACACAGGCTCTCTAGGCATTGTAGACACATCTAGGCACTGACATGTTAACAACTTCCCTGGACAATCATATGACCAAAAGTCAGTCTTACTGAATACAAAAAATATTTTTGAATGATAAATTGCAACACATTCAATCAGCTCTAAAATTCACCAGCAGTATCTCTTGAATGTTACAGAACACATGCTTAACAACAACAAACCTATTCTTGTGTTGTGTGCAAATGCAAAAGTGAAGTTTGTGAAGATTTCCTTCTGAACTGGGTTAAATGTCAGGTGTATTCCCTTAACATATTCATAGAGCTGTGAGACAAGAAAAGTACCACAACTCTACTTCCTGACTATGAATCTGGGGGGCCAAGGTTCACATGTGGTCATTAATTGATGTGCAGAAGCCACAGTCCAAAAATTGGGTGGGGCTAGGACTAATGCATAAATACACACAAACACATATGTATCTATATGTACTTGCAACAGTATCCAGGTTTGATTCCTGCTTGGTAATGGAGCTGAGCAACTTTCAGACAGTCATTCTCTCTTAGCCCAACCTACCTAACAGGAGTTACTGTTAGGGGAATGAAATAAGGGAAGACCTTCCATGTCAACTGTGCTGGGCCCTCAAAAAAGAGGCAATAAATACACAAACTAATAATTAAATACATAAGCCATTCTCCTGCACCTTAAATCAATCCTATCTTGTATCATAGTAACCATTAGCCTCCAAGCCACAAGCATCCAAGTCACTTCCTGTCTAGTCCCAGTGAATTAGGAGAAGGAAGAAAACTGTAAAGCAAACCAGTGTCCTGAGAGTGCCCCAGAGCCGGGAGAGATTTTAAATTTCTCACAGGGCCGTTTTAATTTTCTTTTTGCCAGGACAACTAGCAGTATCAGAAGGTTAGTTACGGTAGGTGCAGATATGCTGGCAATTTAAGTGCACTTTCAGAATCCGACTTTCATGACACCCTGTGAGCAGATGCTAGCGGAATTCACAACGGTGCTATTTCTGATCTCGAGTAAAAAATTCAGGACTGCTTTTTCTCTTCTTCTTTCAGAAGGGAAAGGATAGTATAGTTTCCTCCGTTACTGTACTCCACTGCCAGGAACTCAGCTTAAGCCCAGGAAATTTCACTGGGCTTCTCCCTGTGCTTGAAAAGAGACAAGGAGACAAGCAGCTGCACCAATGGAGGCTGAAGTGTAGCAGGATGTGTGTGAAGAAGATGCACAAGAGGCAGATAGGCAGGTACAGATGAAAGCCAGTGTGGGAAGGAGCAACAGGCAGTGGAGCAGATAAGGAGAGATGCAGAGGAGGGAAGAGGGAGAAAAAACTGCCTTTCTTCCATGTTTTAATTCAGCAACACTTCCAAAAGTTGGCAAAAGTTGCCAACTTCCAAAAGTTGGCCGCAACTTTGGAGAAGGTTCCAGGGGATACTCATACCATGTGGGCTATAGCACCCTGATCTGAAGTCTGGAAAATGTCAGCACTACATCCAAGATCACTTTGATTAGTTCAGGAAAGAAGACTGTTGGATGGGAAAGCCAACATGTCAATGAACAGTTACAAACATTCAACATTCTCTCTCATATACAGATATAAGTCACAGTTCCCTTCCTCCCCTATTTTCCTTAACAGTTTAAATTTTAAAATGGTTGAGGATTCATGGAAGTGGTGTGTTAATTAACAGTTATGAGGCAGCTTGGGTTGAAAAGTAGCATACAAATCTAATAAATAATCAAATGAAACCGCCCTGTAAGGCAAAGACAAAGACTGCTAAGAATAACTGTAAGGTTGTATTTTGTTTTTCGTAGTATTTATTTTAAATTGATTTTGTTTTACTAAAAATTTCATTTAAGGAATAAAATATACCACAAACATTCTGTGAAATAAAGAAGTAAAAGATCCAGACATATAATATTATTTATTTTTCAAATATATAGATCTCCTATGTTTTCTGTAAGAAGCTCTTCACAATTTCTTGGGGGTAAGTAGGTAGGTAGGTAGGTAGGTAAGAAAAACAAATTGGGCCAAAGTCATCCAAGGACCTTGACAACCTGAGCTTCCAATTTCCAAAATCCAATCCTGGCCATACTGTCTCTTAGTCATTTCCACATGGTATTAAAAAGATATTCTAATTAGGAGATCACCTGAATAATGAAGTCAGTCCTCTATGCTGATTCTGGGAGATTCATTCATCTGAACTACCTTTCTCAGATTTATTATACAAACCTGATCTTTTTTACTTCAAGAATGTTTAAATATTTTATTTCTTCTGTTACATTTGTTATTTGGATCATTAAATAACAACTTTCATAAAACATACACACACACACGTCGGAATAAGAGGTTTATTTTATTTTAAAACTTGTAACTAGTAAAAAGCTTCATAATTATATTTGATTATTGTGATTGAAAGAATAATTTCCTGGAACAGTGAAAAAAGTAAGAATTATGCACTTACTCTTAGTATATCAGTCTTCAGCTGCAATTCTGTGGGTGGAGCGGAGTGCATCAACCCTAAGAGAGTCCCCATGTCATCATCACCACTTGGTGATAACACCAGCTGCTGGATTATCATCAGTGCTTGCTGCCTACATTGTGGATATTTTACTATGTTATGTACACACCTTGCTCCACCAAACTCCCTGAAGATGCCTACAATGCAAACAAGTAAAAAGGAATAGCTGCAATACCACTAAGGCACAAAGACACTGTCAACTGGACAACTACTGGCATAATTATCTATAATGGCTGCCAACCCAAAAATGCCAGTAAGCATTCCAAATCAGGAACAGCAGCTTTTCCAAAGATCATAAACTTTAAAGAGACTGCAATAATGGCAAAAACATTATATTTTATTACTCAGTTATTCTACACTTCATTCTTATGAGTCTGTAGGAAAAACAAGCCTTGCCCAGTTAATCTTATCTCATTTTTCTCATTGGGTAACTTTAATAGATTGTGGGAATGTTGCACACATACTATATCTTGACTTTAAGAAAGTATTTGATTAAATACACCATGACATTCTCATTAGTAAACTAGCTAAATATGGTCTGGATGGCATGACAAGATACACCTAGATCAAAAATCATAATCAATGTTCATCTATAATTCCTAATCAAACTGGAATGAGATACTACATTTGGTGTGGCGGGGGGGTGGTTGTCACACAATTTAGTCTTAGGCTTTGTATTCTTGAGTATTTTTATTAATGGCTTGAAGAAAGAAGTGAAGAGGACGCATATTAAATCTACACATGACACAAAATTGGGTTGAATAGCTAATGTTCTGTAAGACAAAAATAGGGTTTAAACTGATATTGATAGGGTAAAATAACAGAATGAAATTTGAACAATTGTAAATTCTTCACATCAGAAGCAAAAATTAAATGCACAGTAATAAGATAGGGTACACATGGTTTCTAATAGTACTTACAGGGAAAAATATTGCAATAGAAGTTGATAAAAAACATGGGTAAGCCATGTGATGTGCTCCAAAAAGGGGCAAATGTAATTTAGGCTGAATCAACAGAAATATAGTTTCTAAATCATGGGAAGTATTCATTCAATTTTATTTTGCTCTGGTAAGACCCCACCTTGAGTACTGTGTACAGTTCTGGGCATTGTACTTTAAGAAGCATTCAAAGAATATGGAACAGCTTCAAAGAAATGCGACAAGCATGATCAGGGAACCAGAAACTGTCCTATGAAGTGAGACTGAAGGAGCCAGTCATGTTTAGCCTTAAGAAAAGATTAGAGGGAGGATATTATATCATTCTCCAAATATCTGAAAGGATATAACACAGAAAAAGGTCATGATTCTTCTTCTCTTCCTCCACAGTACAGGAAGGTAGATTCCAATTGAATATTAGGAAAATGTCCTAACAGCAGGACTGAAAAAGTGGGAACAACTATATAGAGATTGTGTTCAAGAGGAAATTAGATAACCATGCTTTAATTTGAATTTCTACACTGAGCAGAATGATCTAAATGGCCTTTCCAATTCTATGAAATACAATCTATGATCTTTTGTATCCAATAAATATCTAAGTATTTTTTCAAAAGCTAAAGCAAGATAGTCAATTAAAGCTGTGGCTAAGCGAGCTCATAAGCCCATGATAAGATATCCCAGTCAGGAAAGGTTACATCAGTGTTTTTCAATCTTGGCAGCTTGAAGATGTGTGGACTTCAACTTCCAGAATTCCCCAGACAACATGCTGACTGGGGAATTCTGGGAGTTGAAGTCCACACATCTTCAAGCTGCCAAGGCTGAAAAACACTGGGTTGTATCTTCAGATACACAAGCAATGAGAAAACTGAAGTAGAATTATATTCAAGAACATAATACTTGAATATATACTTCAGAAATTCCTGGGTATACCTGCAAATAATAATTATAAATACATTATCACATTAGGAGAAAGCATCCATAAAATGAAGGCTGCTATACTATAACAATAGGCTGATAAAAAAAATTCACTCTGTTGGGAAGATTGAATCTATCCTAGGATGCCACAACTGATTTAACCATGGTTGAAAAGTGAGTAGGAGACACAAGTAAACACAGAGCAAGATTTGCTTCTCCAAGATACTGTAACCAGATACATAAAGTTATCATTTCATTTGTTTGCCTCAAAAGCCTTATAAATGACAGGTAAAGGATTACAGCAAGCCCAAACTATGTTTTTAATTTTGCTTTTTAAAAAGTGAATGCATTTTAAAACACAAATTTAAATATTTTAATATAAACATGTTGAAAGTGATTTACCTTCTGCAATAGATGGCAATCACTAAGAGAGATGACCAACTGACTTTGACCAAATTAAATTAATATTTGTTTTATTTCTATTACTTTTATAGACCAGCGTAAAAGTAATATGTGACTGAAATAAAAATAAATACTAAAAATACCAAATGAAATGAGAATTCTGCTATTAATACACCTTTATCCATCAAACAATTGGTACAGTATTTCACATCTCAAAAACCACGTAAAACATGAAGTTCATTACAGAGTGAAGCATGTTTCAAGAACAATCATCATCACCTAAGAGTTATTGCTCATTTCTTTCAACCAGTCATTTGTTAAATACCTGCATTTGTGTTTGATCCTTGGAGCAGCACCGTCAAGGTCTCCATAACCAGCAAAGCAAGTTGTTTTTGGTCTTCAAATGAACTGCTATTTTTTGAGTCTCCTACAAAACATTATTAAGAAGCTACAGTAGAAGAAGATGCTTTCCCTTCACAACACACATTCATATTATTCAGTCACTTACACACGTGCAAACATATTTCTTCAGTTCTATTATGTTCACTGATTCTGAGTGTCACTGGTACTTTATATATGGTGCCTTAGGTAAAATTGCTATGAAAATGAGCATTGGTACAGCACTCAGCTTTTGAGCACTGAGTTATCATAACCTCAGATCCTTGTGCAAAATATGAGTTTACTGGACACTGTACACAGTTTATGGGTGTGGACATAACACATCAAATTATATTTCATGTATAAGCATTTAAAAGTAGAAGAGGTTCAAAATTTTATTTGGGGGAAGTTTTATGCTTGGAACAAATGTAAAAAAAAAGCATATATAGTATTTATAATAGTTTGAGATGAATATGCATCTCCAGTAGTACAACAAAATCAAAAGCAAAAGTGTTAAAATAAATCCACTTGAAAGTAGATTTAAAGAAAGGGGGAAAAGTAGGGGAGGGAATCTACCTTGATCATTCAGAGCTTGCGTAGGATCTTTCAAAAGAGCAGCATATTTGTGCAGAAGATTCACCATCACTTCCAGAAGTCCCACCTCCCTGAAAACATCCTTAAAAATGTAGTCATGCCGTGTGAACTTAAGCAGAGTCTTCATTGCAATAATGCTACAAGAGTAGGAGGTGCTGGATTTTAAGAGGATGCTGACACTAATCAGTTCTTTGCAAGGTATGTAATTCAAGCTAAAGACAACAAATTCAAGCATCTCAAAGTATTTTGTTTGTACTTCTGGAAGCTTTGAAATTTTCTCCGCAAACTGAGACAAAGTGTGCTGGGATTCCAGGATAAAATAGTTGGCATTATCTGCAATGTATATATTCAAAATGGCATCAAGAATAATTTGTGCTAGATAGCTGGTTTTTGCTTTAAGAAAAGCATTCTGTAGGACTGAGAAGGCCTGGATATTCCTCACATTGTGACCTACAACAAAGAGAGAGAGAGAGAGAGAGAGAGAACATGTATATTCTTCAAAGCAGGCTGGACTGGAAGCTGCAATGGGTGTGCGAGGTGCAGTGAGGGTGGGTGAGAGGTACCATGCGGTTTGGAGAGGGTGTGTGAGAGGCACCGCACAGGTTGGGGAGGGTGCATAAGGGGGAGGGTCAGGGAGGTTGCATGGGAGTGCAAGGGAGGCACGGCAAGCGTTGGGGTGGGTGTGCGAGGGTACACAAGTGGCTGGCAAGCGCAGAGGGGCTGGGGGAAGGTGGGGATTACTTACCCTAGCAACCTTCCCTGCTGACTTCCCCACTGACTTACTGGGGAAGCTGGCAGGGAAGGTTGCAAATGGTGATCACCAGATTGCAAGGCATTTGACAACTGGTTGTAAGTACGAATGGGTTGCCAAGCACCCAAATTGTGATCATGTGACCACAGGGGTGCTACGATGGATGGACAGTAGACCAGTCATAACCACCATTTGCCAAGTGCGATCATAACTTTGAATGGTCACTGAATGAATGGTCATAGGTCGAGGATTACCTGTATACAACATATATCATATTTTAATTTAAAACTCTAAAAACTGCTAAGCAAAAATGATGGGCTTCCATAATTTGGATAACTGGTTGATCTATGAAGCAAAGGCATATATTGTAAAGAATATTCTCATGGATAAAGAATAAATTATTCTAGTCTATTTAATCACATAATTAAGAACCTTAGGAAAGGTTTTTTAAAAATTAAATTACTATAAATACCCAAGACTATATGTTGCCAATGTTATTCTGCATGTGTAAGATTAAAAAGAATAATAGTACCTTTGCCTGCAGGTTGGGGAACTGCAAATCCAGGCAGTAAGAAAGGTGCCCCTGTAGTAACACCAGCTGGTTTTAATTCATTGACACCATATGTTGTTAATGAGGTTATCAGGTTAACTAAATCCTTCAAAGCATCCTTGGATTCTGCCTCTTTTGCTTGTTCTAACCTTCAGGAAAAACACATACATTTACTGAACAAAAAGCAGTGGATTCCTCTGCATTGAAATTTGAAATATCTCAATGAAATAATAAACCAGTTGATTTCAAACACAGTTTTATTTTGCATCCAAAGTTAATGTTCAGGGCTCATTATAACAGGGATGTTTTTGAAACTTTCAGACAATTTTAAGCAGATCAACACCACAGATCTGCCTCTGCAGCTTTGGTTAGGTCTATGTGTTCTCCTAAATGACAGTTTCTAAGCAAAATGGTAATAAGAGTGGATATGGGAGGAAAAGAGAGGTAATATGGGCTACATATTCAGCAGACCATCTCCCATTAGAGGACTTCTATCCCTAAAACCCATGCCCCTTTAAATTAAATGTAACTTCCTATTCAAAGAACTTCACAGTTATTCTAATGCATGTAACAAACATCCATATTTATTTCACAAGCAAAGACACTGCACACTCAATGAAAGCTGCCCCTGTAACATCAGAGATGGGGGGGGGGGACTGTGTACAAAACAGTGGAATAGATTCACAAGAATACAGAAATTAACTTCATAGGGTTTACATTAATGTACTAGTACGGAGAACTGGAATTACTACTGATACCATAAAATTGGCTCATCTTATTAGAGAGATGGCAGTTTTGTAACACAAGGAGGGAACTACTTCTCATTTAAAAGGCCAGGGAACTGCCTGGGGGAATACAGAGATAGATATTGAGTTAAACAGGAAAAAAATAGGAATTCAGATATGACCTAGGCTGTTAGGAATAAAGCTGGCATATCAGGGACCAGCAATTCATAGACTAGCTAAAACTGCTGTAACAACAAATCCCTCCCGCCTTCTGTGACCTTGAAGAGAAGGTCCAAATATCCATTAATTTAGAAAGGCAAGAAGAAAACGCCAAAAAACCTGAAGCACTGGAATATATACAGGCTCTGATCAGTGTATACTGCAAGAATAAGTAGATCCGTTGTAGTTGGTTTCCTTCTTGACTGCAATACAGTATCTACATTACCTGAGTCATGATTGAGAATCTACTGCTGAATAAGCCAATTCTAGAAAAAGGGGTTGAGAATCTGAAGAGCTTAGATTTACAGTCATGCCAGTGCTACAAACCAGGTCAGGAGATTTGGAGTTTGCAAGGTCCAGGGATCTGAAAACTGCAATTAATACTTGAAAAAAATATTTGTAATTTATTACAAATTACACAAAGCAATTTGCTTGTTTTCAAAACTCTGCAATTTGCATCCTTCACTGAGTACATATAACCCTGTCTTTTCAGCTCTGTAATACCCTACTAACAGTTTTTCTTCCTTAAGATTAGATGTACACGTATCTGGGAATGTAGGAAGCTTTGTCTAGTTTGGACTGGTTAAACGTTTTGGAAGCTATAATGTAACTTCTGTAGGGTAGAAGCCTAACCATAGAGACTTGTTAATGGTTACTCCAAAAGTATCAAACATTTTGTTCTAAAGCATGGTGCTTCCTGTTCCCAACTCCCATGACAACCTCTACTTGTTTCTCCTTGGTTAATAAATATATTTTGATGTTGGCATGTCTCTATCTTGCCAAATATCAACCAAAGTTTAATTTAAAATTCTGTTTTTATTCAGTCTCTCCTTTGTTGTGCTAGACTAAATGCATTGATCTATGCAATGTTATAAACTGTTACCCATTGTTCTAAATAGAAAATGGAATCTAAAAGAGATAGAAATTTTGATATGACTGAGATACTTAATGAATGCTGCTGTCCTAGTAAGCCTAAAGTTGAACTAAAGTTTGGATCTAGCTCTCCAAGTTTACAATTCTTCGGACTTGGCTAAGACAAGATTGCTGTACATTACAGTACTTTGCAACAGTAGAGTTTTGCAGCTCACCTGAAAAATCTTAAAAGAGAGGCAACCAAGCCAAGCCTTTTGGATTACTATAGCCATTACTCCAATCTACCAGGACACTAGCATTTATCTTTAAGAATTAAATCTCACAATCAAATCTAATTTCAATGTAATACTGAAAGTGGGAGCATTACCAAAACTCAGCCTGGGCTTTGCTTTCTGCTTTATCTGCAGGCTTACCCAAGCCAAGCAGGAGTGAGTTTCAGCAATGCATTTTCTGCCTGCACAAGTCCACAATGGGCAGTTGTGGTACTGCAAAGTTAGAGATCCTCTGGATATGTAGATTAAAATGCAATTATTAACATTAAGCATTTATATTTATTTCTTGTCCAAACATAATCATATTGAAATCATTAGTTTTATTCATGGGGAATGGTTGCATAAATCATTTTATCATGTTACAGTCACATCATATTGTAGAGAATTGAGAACCCTTACAATATTAAGGTAAAAATTTAAAAACAAGGAGCAAAGCTTGATTGTTAATACTACCACATCAGATTGATTCTTTCTAGTTGTTGGACCACATAAATGTCCTTACCAAAGAAAGGAACTGACATTGGTTCAACACTCAAAAATCTAGATTAGTTTATGAATGATTATCAATGTTGTACTTCATATTAGGCTTTCTAAATTCCAAACTAGCTGAAGGGTAATTAAGTTTGATTGGAAAGTCCAAAACAATGTGCACTAACCCTTTTCTAAATTCTCCCACTTCATCCTTCTTTCTATCACTGAAAACATTTCTTCATGAAAAGCCAGATGATAATCTGTCTATTCTACTAAGGCCAAGATAAAGGCATTCTAGACAGAACAGATTAGCTTAAATTAAATTTTGCAAAACAAGCTAGTAAAAGTTTGGGTGGAAAAAAAAAAGCCCAAGCTCCTTCTTATAAGGAGAGAGACAAGTAAATGACAATTTTATTTCTTAATGCATTGAACAGATTAACATAAACATTCTTTCAGAAGAAAACACAGTATATCAGCAATTGCATCACGAACCCAAATTCTAGGTCTGATAGTAAGAGGCCTTTCCCAGCATTATTTATGAGAAACAAGCAATGCCTACGTTAATGTAAACATATTTAATTCAATTATAACAATATAAAAGTTTCAGTTTCATAATCAAAAGGTGCTAAAATTAATCTGTATCAAGAGATTGGATGATAAAACAGTAAGCCCAAAAACTGGAAGCTAAGGCAGTCTCACTTTGTGGATAGTACCATTTTAATGTAGCCTATAAGAAGGTTCAATTTTTCACCTGCATATTCACAATAATATTATATTTATTCCTTTGTTGATAAGACCTTCCCAGGAAGTGCCTCATTTAAACAAGAAGATATATTTACAAACATGATTTGCATACCTGAGTAAAAGATCAAAAAGAAAATTATATCCTTGCCATATCCTAAAATCATCTAGCAGCGTTTGAGACACATCACTGGAATCTTTAAGGAAACAGGACAGGCCAGCAAACATTTCAACTATTTCTAAGGGAGAAAGGTCGTCGGATTGCTGCATGTTCTGAACACATGTTGATAGGCATTCCTTTTCTGAAAACATATTGAAGAAAAAAATCTTTTCAAATTATACATGTTGTATATTCTTATGTAGACACCTGGCATGCCAGAAACAACAGAGAATGTTTAGTCTGACTGACTCAATTCAGCATTATAGTCTGCCTTACTATAACTTCTCCACTGTCTTCAAGACAGACAACATCCCCATTGTGTGTTATCAATATTCGTAAAGTACTGATATTCTGCTTTTACAAATGAAAACTGAAAATCCAGTATGTTAACCAGACCATGGACACTTTGAAGAAAATTAATCCTGAAGCACAATACAGAATTGCAGAAAACCTGAATTTACACTTTTATGAAATTGAAATGCTTAGATTATTTAGTGGTCTGTCAACTGTTTGGCTGTTCTCAGTTATTACAAGCTATCAATACAATTGAATATTAAATTCGACTCTTTGACAAACATCAAAAGAAGCAGTTGGATATCAGATATCATCAGATGCTGAATATCTACAGCGAATTCAAGATATAGTGAACATATTAAAACACCTCATGAACAGCTATATCTCATGTTACAGAGAATAATTTCAAGGAGAATTTATGGGATGATGTCTGTTTCAGGTCTACTGAATTCTGTAGAAAACATAGTTTTGAACAAAGTATCATTCAAACATGTTACCTATTAAATAAAATCTTTTCTCCCTCCTATATATGTTCAAAACAAATGCAATTCCACCTTTTATTGATTCACACCACCTATTTCCTTAACTGTACAAAAGAGATACCAACCGTGAATGTATTTTACTACGTTGACACTAAGGCCATGACGTGATATAGTCATTAGTACTTCCCCTGCACTCTTCCTCCAAGGCAGGTTATAGGGAGGGCACCATGAGGTTATTGCACTGAAAAGAAGCTGGAGGTCATCTTTCTGAGCAAGCTCTTCCGCTGGGGACACAAAACTGCACAGTTTCACTAAGATCTGAAACAAAAGGCAATAACATTCACTAAAACAAGGCTGTACCCCATACAAATCGCTTATAATCTTTCCTTTATTCTGATTACTATTTACACTGTGAACAAAATAGGTACCTGTGAACAATTCCTTGGAGTGAGTTCAGCTTAACTACATTATAGAACAAAAGTCAAATGCCACTGTACACTTATGGTTATTTCTATTCTCGGTCATTGGTTTGCTTGACAACCTCTACTTGTTT